ATATACATTTTTCACGTAGACTGGCTATACATATATACCATATGAACTAATTCTAAAAGTTTTCGGTCGAAGATGTGTTTAGTAGCTTGATACGCTTAATACTACTATTAATAAGTGGTTTTCTAGACAAAACATTTTGGATTAAACCATGGTCAAATACTTATTAAAGTTCTCATCATTTTTTTTCATGTTTAGGAAACTTACATAATGACTTAACCAGTTTGCCTACAGCATGCTTTTTAGTGTGATCATATTATCCATCATTATTGGCAATATTCAAATTTTTTTTAAATTTCTGACATTTAAGAATCAATAACCGTGAAGATATAGTACAGTGCGTTACTGTAAGGTTACTATGTTAGCCGCATTGATTCCACATACCTAATTTTAAACACAACTTACAAGGGAACTGTTAAGTAATCACAACATTGAACTAATATGAATATCACAGCTATGCTAACGTTAAACCAATTATTATTAGTGGTCCATACAAAATCCTGGAACTTAACACTAGCGTTATAAAAAAACATGTTATGTCAATAACTTATATATATATACCTTTTTTTCTCTCGTTGGTTTAATTATAACGTAAAATGGAAATCTACCACACTTGTAGTTTTTTTTTCTATAGCATTATTATTAATAACAACAAAGAACTTGTACTATTCCAATATGGCACTTTGACATATCAATCCGTCCTCCTGTTATCTTTCTCTTATATCTGAGCAACATATGGCCAACAAACATCGTATTGAAGGGGGTTTTGGTGAACGAAAACGCTAGCCCCACACGAACTCGAACCTCTGCCCTCCTGGATGCTAGACCGTGTGCCTAGCCATTAGACCGCATCAAACCACGGGCGAATGACTGCAATCTTTCCTTTTACCGATTAATCGTATATAATACTAATGAGTAATAGGACTTACACATTTCTAAGGTGCAGACAAATTCGTTACTTGGATGAATTGACGAAATATTGTTTCAATATATCATACATACTTAGATCAAACCAGAAAAGAGTATTTGACACAATTGTAATTAATCCTCATAATCTACACAATTTTTTCTCCTCCTTAACCGTATATTCTTTTCCGTTTTGTGGAGTACAACTATGCACCCTTGGTTACGTACCTGGTTATAAAAGGCGGTCGTCATAGGCCTGTTAAGGGTAATATCCTTAATATCTGACTCCAAATAATAATATTCCGTAACTGAGTATTTAAGGTAGGCTTAATCTCCTAGTAGAATTACGGATTTTATTCGAGATTATTAAGAAGCCTGAACACCAGTTATGGAGATAGTTTATTATTAATGAATAATGATAATCCACAAGCGTATTGTGAGCAAGCACACGATGGGAACAGAGAGAGTGTGAGTTTGTTAAAAATCCATTTATATTTGAGGGTTAATCGGGTGTGTATAAATTATCGATTATCTGCACGTTGAAACCAATAGGAAAATAGTTTAAAAGTTAATGTACAGACATGCATTCGATAATACACACCGAAATTAACATAGTGAATTAAGAGTCTAAGTTACAATGAATAGACAGATGATACAGTGGCCAAATGGGCTTGCCACAGGCCCAAGGTCATACATTTGATCGGGTTTGACAATGAGTCCAACTTCTAGCAAGTTTACACTTTTACATATATGCATTATAAAAAAGTATTTTTTTGTGTTCATACCTTTTCGTACATAAGATGGCTACACTATGTCTATTTTCTTTCAGAATACCAATCCTTTTTGGAGGCCAATCACTTACGTGGAACCGAACAATTATCAATTATATTTTTGTATTTCCATTTTGTATCTTATTATTTTTATGCAGGCAGTGGAGCAGTTCTTCAGGTGTGATTGGTTTTCACCATTACCTTTGAAGTAGATTCTTCTTTACTTTTTACTTGAGGGCGACTCAAGAGGCAGGTGAGTAAACACCTGATAGCCGGTCTGAGCATGGAAAAATCGTACCTCACCAACATGGTGTTGGGTAGCCCGCTCGCGGCACTTCCTCAGATATTCTTATTCCACATTCTCACACTCTTTCTCTTGAAAGCACGCAGTAAACCGTCAGCGATAGTTGTAGAATAGATCACATGCTACAAAATAAGATGACAAGCTAGTAAATGAGGAGACATCCATGGACTATCGTTGACAGCGTTAGTCGTCACTGATTGTAAGTCAAATAGTGAGCGAGTTGATAATATTCCCTTGGGATGAGAAATAGAACTAAGGTGTTTTCGATAGATAGGTTAATCGAACCGACGTTGCTACGGAAGTCGATTCTAGGGGGAAGCTAATGTAACAGCTCAGGTTGGTTGGTTAAGAGTTGACCCCAAACAACCAAGCTTATGCCAAAACAGTATTGTTCAAGTATTCATTCACTTCCTTATTTTTCATAAGCGTTATATTCCCTATTATCTTGAATGTTGAGAGCCTTTGTTTGTCTGAACAGATAATCCCACGCTCCACTGTGACTGCACGAAGATCGAAATAAAGACCTATTCACTACTTCTCTGGTTTCTTCTATCAATAGCACGAGGGTTACTTTAAGGCACGAAAGTACCACTTATTCGGGCAAGGCGTTCCAATCTTTGAGAAAGACGGAACCCCATCTTAAGTTTATTAGATCGTGGTTTGTAAACTTTCTTCTTGTCACCTCGGAGATAAGTTGTGCTGCATGGAGCGAAAAGACAAGAAATCCTTTGGCTGCAGCTGCGTTGGAATTCGTAGTTTTTTCAAGTCGCAGTTTGTTATTATTCCTAAGTCTTTAAGTTCCTTAATGAATGGAAGAGACATACCATCAATAGTATACTGGCATCTACTACCGTGCTCACTCCCAGAATTTCAGCGAGATCAAGAACAAAGATTGGTGCAGAATAATATGAATTCACTTCGTTAGGTTCTCATCGGCTGCTTACAACCTATAATATTTTAAAATCAACTTTATTACAGATATTAACATACTTATACATACGAGGGTGATTAAACATTAATATATGTATCATGATGTAGAGAAGATTTTATTAGAGTTGATATAATCTTAAAAATTTTGTTTCGGATAGATAAAGTTTAGGAGCGGAAATTCCATTGAATTAGTGACTAGAACTTATGAAGTTAACAAATATTAGGTGATTATATTTTGAAGCGACTGAAAACACATTAATGGTAATAAATAATGAATTGAAATCAGTCAGCTATGAACTGAAGAAAATTGACAATGATGTGAATAAACTTCAGAAACAGTTTATATAATAAATGACGTAATAGATAAAAAGGAGCGTATTGTTACCAGGGCAAAGAAAGATTTATTACTGCCACTTTTTGGATACATAGATCTGGTTCAAAACGTTTGATTGTTATCGCTTTGGCAAATTTCAAAAGATTGGAGTTTGACTGTTTGTTAATCATTTTGAAAGATTTCAGTATATGGACTTCATATCCTGTGTCAAGGAGATGTCATCACCGTTGAATTTATGTCGAATAAAAATAGTTTGCTGTGGTTTCTTTGGGTTTCTTATCCCCACGTTTTCCATATTTCTCAATAAATTTCAGTGGGTATCCGTTATCTTTTAAATATATGTGTTTAATTATGGCCTACTATGATGTTAGTACTGTGCTAGTAATATGCCTAATTCTAAAATTGTAGACTTGTCATGATATAACGGCCTAGTCTATAAGATCTTACGTAGAAGTCATACCATCTTCTACACCAACTCATCATATCGTAACAATCACCAGTACATGATGCAGAACAAGCTTAGGCTAGTGATAGGACAATATATTTAATATGAATAAAGGACATAAGTTAACATTCAACAAGGACCACGCCTGCAAGGCCTAGCCATGCCATTCGATCAACTCCAATTGAATCAATTCCTTGTTCCCAACTTTTCCATCGTTAGGTATTTCTCCGCGTTAAATATTGAATATCTGTTCTCCGAATAGTTTCGTGTTCAGCTTTGAGGATTGTGTAGTTATGGTTCAATGTCCCTATATATGTTAACATTCGTTACTTCCTCTTTTAGCGCGTCGGAAGTATATATTTCTTCTGTCCTGTGAAACAGCGTTTCAACAAGTGCACTTTTATAACTGATTAGACAAAAGCTATCGAATTTGAAAAAATCCCAATCCATGTGTCTTTCTTATAAAGTGAACGTTGAACTACGCTATCCTTCCTTCGTTTTATTGTGACATCTAGAAAATTGAACTTGTTATCATTTTCATGTTCCATAGTAAACTGCATATTTAGATGGGCTTCATTGGAATATTTTAGCAGATTTGTTGCATGTTGTTGATTATTACGTATGATGAAGGTGTCGCTGACATACCTCGAATAATACATCATTTTATCAACCGCTCTTTTGAGCTTGGTTCTTTTGAAATTAGCCAAGAAAACATCTGCTAGGACAGGACCTAACGGACTTTCCATTGCTAAACCATTAGAAGATACGGTTACATGTAGTATGCTTTTAAGGTCAGTATAACAACATGACGAGATTGAATAGACTTTTAGATACCTAGTGAACAGGGCTGGAAGCGATCGTACCCATTTCAAATCTTTCGGACAAGGCATTGAAAACAGGAGACGTGCAAAATAGTCTCTCACAGAGATACTGAATATTTTTAAGGCATGTTAAATCCCTTCACTTTAGGATAGACAAAACAGGGAACATGCTACGAAATGTCAGATGCCAAAAAACAAACAGTCGATTACTTCTGCTCAGAAAATTTTCGAAATTTATCTTTGACTGTATTTCGTCAAATCCAGTCTTGTTATATCGAACAGAAAATCACCTAAGCTCTTCCATACCTGCTTTCATTCAGTCTTGAGAAATTACATGTCATTGGAGTTGGTTTACGAGCACTGTAAAGAAATATTTAACGTTGCTTCATTGAAACCGTTCAATATGTGAGCGCGTATCGTGCAAATATACGTTACCACAATGTTAAAACTACTTGGTCGGTACATTTGATATGGACTGCCAAATTGAATGTAGATGACATCGCACAAGTTAGTCGCTTTCATTTCAATAATTGTGTTGTGTGACAGCTATCTTATTGGTGATTTTATTACATATATGAGTATCACGTAATAATGTCCAGTTTGTCATTTATTTTTAATTCAAATTTACTGCGAAATATCAAACACATGAATTTTTTAGATCTCTTAATGACTAGGGATAGTATAATAATAAGAAGATTGTCAGAAGTATGTAGTGATACTCGCCTTCAGGTCTGCATATCTCACATGAGTACTTTGTTTCTACACTTTCAGTAAAACGAAAACCTCGAAGTGAGACTACAGCACGGATGTTTCCGTTATTCTTCGCGTCTAGATCCACTAGTGGGTAGTGTACATTAAGTGCGTTTTCCTGTTTTATAAGTAGGCATTTAGATGCTTTGCTCGATCTCATATATATTTGTTTTAGCAGCATCACTCACTGACATCCAAACATAAACAATATATATCTATATCGTGCTACCTTTTGTATATGTATTCTGTAGTGATGGTGCGGCCTAACATTTATCACTGACTAAGCATATACAAGAGCGTCCCAAAAAGGAGTAAAATAAGATCTTTAAAAAGCATTTACTTTGTGACTGACTCGAGGAAAACTAAAAAAGTTAATGTATCTGCATCATGCTGCCAATTTCAGATTACGTCTATTTTATTAGTTACTAGCCCCTTTCTTCCAAAAGCCATGTTTTGCAGTCGGAAAAAACGGGGCGGACTATTGTCCTTTATAATTGTTTTTTTAAGACTGGTAGATATATCACCTACCCTATGTGTGATATGTTAGTGAAGAACATCGCTTGAGGTTGCCAGTCCTGATGACAGTTTTTCAACAAGCTTCGACTCAACTTATAATATTTAAGCACAGCGCCTTCGGAAGGTTTACGTACTTCGGCATTATTTTTAGTGACAAACTGAGATGAAGTATCCCGGTTGATCTAGTCAAATGAAGCTTTAGAACTGGGATATAAGTTGTCGGACATTGGTAAGTATGAGTATATTCTGAAACTGATGAAAGGTAAATATCCAATAGATAGAATCGATTCCAGTTCTGGAACCATCCTAGTTTTTTCTTTTTGCTCTCCACACCCTTCAGCGTTAGATTATTAGTAAGCTCTGTAAGGTCACTGAATTTCATCTGAGTGTGTTTTACGTTTTCTGGTGTATTGCTTAAACCCTTCTAGATTACGACCTCCCTGCCACCGTACCGATTTACAGTTGGCTGTGAATCCTTTCTAAGTAATGCAGCTGAATCCCGAAATTTACCACAATGTGTTCAACATTTGACTACAGAATACTAGGTTAAAGTGCTGATAATTTGACAGCTCATAATATCTTTTATATATTTCTGGTTAATCACTGGCTATATAATCAAGAAAAAAGTTTAAGACCTGTCAATAAGCAATAAAAGCTAACGTATACATAAATGTGACGGTGAGTGTCAATATTTAGTTAAAGATAAGGATTTAGTTTATCTGCTGCACCACCACTGATTTTTCCCCATATCACCTAGGATTTACAATCACGAACTACGGTTATTTCACGGACCCTAACCATACAGCCAACACCTTCCTAAACATCTAACCTCAAATAACTCACTTCGTGTAGTCGAACTAGGTGTTGATACTGATTATTCTTGAAGAGGCTTATTGCAGTTAGGGAGTAGACCCCAAAAATTTTTGTATGAGCACTCGAGGCGTTCAGTGAACTGCTGTTTGTCAGGATTGTGTTATGTACATGCTGAGCTTGTAAAGGATTCTCTAAATAGGTCAACCCCTTAAAAATAAGATTATAAGCATTTAATGGGATAACATCTGTGATAAAATTATACAAATTGTTGAGAGTGGATAGCACTAACCAGCGCCATTGAATCAGTCCAAATATTACAATTCTAAAATGTTCGTAGTATATCGGTCCTATTGAAGCATACCGTGTCCATGTTAAAGTGTCTATTGTTTTTAAATTTGTTTGTGATAATAATCAGGTAATATTTACATTGCTGTGGGTGACTGTTCTTATTTTAATACCGAACACTATACCTGTCAATGTTTAGCATGGCGTAATCCTTGTTGAGAAATCGTTAGTCCAGAAATCTATTTTAGTTGGATATCTACTTGATAATTTCACATTTCCTGCAATCTGTTCACCTCTAAAGTTTTAACCTACCCTTTAAAGTCCTAATTCATCTAGTTAACTAAAGGGATAAAAATAATTCAGTTTTAGCTTTTTTGAATTTTTATACATTAAGCTATAATATATGTAAACCAGCAAATGTAATGATTATATTCATCATAATCAGTCGGTTGCATCGTAGAACCTGGTACGTATGAAATTGTTAGGCCAATTCCCAGAGTAGTGGAGACACAACACTCAGTGTTAATAGAGAAGTTTGACTATCGAAGATACGATTCAAGAAAACATAAACCAGCGGAACAAAAGGTTATGGGTAATTCAGAAACTTAGATTTTAGGGGTAGACAAAGAATGGCTGCACCTACGCCATCGCAAACGATTTTGAGCTATGTTATTCAAAGTTCTTAACCAATGGTTACGATAATCACGCGTCCAAATAAAGTAGTTTACACCTATTAACATGGTCGTCACTACTGTTTTCACTAGTCAGAAATAGATCTTTGTTTCACAATTCTCACCTTTTTATGATAATAACTGTCATTTTGTCTTGCTAATGTTCTACATTTGATCTTTAAAAGATAATTTAATCATAGTCAGAATTATTTCATCCAGCGCTACCGTGGTAACAACTCCCGACGTATGCATAAAAAACATTTTAATACCACCGTGATTAACATAAGTTCGTATTATTTTATTTATTTGAACACATGAATATTGGTACAATAGAGCGCCAATATATATGCGCCACACAAAACAATGAGAATTCGAAGAGAAATAGAAAAAAAAGCTAAGGAGCGCAAAAACAAGAACAATAACGAAGAGATTGGTGTAAGGTAGTGTGGTAGTAATGAGGGAACGGAAAGGTACAATCAGAAGAAATCTTTCAGTTAAGGGAGACACAACCACTTTTTATGAAGAAAGTAAAAGAAGGTTACAGCAGGATCGTCACTGGCCCCTATTCTGAGCCATATCTGATAACGTCTCTAGCCACTGTGTCGCACCATCTCTCGGACCCCAGCCAGGGAGTCGTGAAGGACCGACACAAGCCAGTCCTTTGCAGCTTTCTTTCATGCCACGACACAATGTCATGCACTGACCACCTCTCCGCTTCTTCCAACCAGTCCCAGAGTCGGCAAATAATGCACGACGTGGAATTCTCTGGGACGACATTCGGAGAACATGTCCAAGCCACCGAAGTCGGTGTTTCAAGATGGTGACACCAATTGAATTATCATCTCTGTGCCCGAACACACGATGCCGAACCTCTGCATTACTGACATGGTGTTGCCACTGAATGTCAGCAATCCTTCGGAGACAACGATGATCGAACACAGAGAGTCGTCTAACGTCCTCAACTCGGAGAGACCAGGTTTCACAAGCATAGAGCAAAACTACTCTCACCGACGCGTTGTAGATCCGACCTTTCACAGCCAGACTAACATCACGAAGGCGCCAAAGGTGGCCCAGATTGGCATAAGCCGCTCTGGCTTTCACTATACGTGCATTGATCTCATCACTCACACCCCCACCAGCACTTATGCAGCTACCCAGATACACGAACTTCTGGACTACGTCTATCTGCTCACCTTCCAGGGTGAGTACAGGATTGGAATCCTGCCAGTCTTGTAGGAGTTTTTTGCACTTCGAAGGTGCAAAGCACATTCCATACCTACGGAAACTGATTGCCAACTGATTAGGTGCGGATTGCATGCCCTGGGCATTATCGCACAGTAAGACAATATCGTCCGCATACTCAAGGTCGAGAAGTCTTTCTCCAGGCAACAGATCCACACCACCATTACTTACATTCATCAGAGCTGTTTCCAGAATGTCATCGATGGCAAAGTTGAAGAGGAATGGTGAGATTGGGCAACCCTGCCTAACCCCACTGCTCGAATGGAACAATGGAGAGAGGTGGTTGTATGCCCTCACTCTGCCTGAGGTGTTTTTATACAGGGCTTTTAGGATGTTAATAAACTTCTCAGGCACACCCTTCTTCAATAGACAATCCCAGAGAACAGTCCTATCCAACGAATCGAAGGCAGCCTCAATGTCAAGAAACACTACGATTGTTTGCCTGTGATAAGTATGACGGTGTTCTGACATTTGGCAGAAGGTGAAGATATGATCAATACATCCTCGACCAGAACGAAACCCAGCCTGCTCCTCGCGAGTCAATCTTTCTCGGGTTTTGAACAACCTACGAAGTATGATGGAAGCCAATAGCTTGGACGCAATCGGAAGTAGACTTATCCCCCGATAGTTGTTGCAGGAACGACGTGAACCTTTTTTAAAGATAGGGACAACTATCGACTCATTGCATGACGTTGGTACACTCTCTAGTTCCCAAACCTTTGTAAACAACGTCGTCAATTCCTTAGTCAAAAAGTCACCACCATCTTTAAAAAGAGCCGGAGGTAAGTCATTTGGACCAGGTGGTTTGTAACGCTTCAAGAGTTGGAGTTCCTTGCGGACTTCCTCCTCGTTTGGTGGATCAGTCGTCACCGGCCATGGAGGGCAGGACAGTCTGACCGATGTTGCCGGAGCAGCAGGCCAGTTGAACTGCCCTTCGAAAAATTCTGCCCATCGTCCAAGACGTCGATGGATGTTAGTGATTGGCATCCCATCATCCGCGCAGATTGTTTCACTCACACCAGACTTCTTGCTGCCAGTGGCTCGGATGAGTTGGAAGAGCTTCCGGTAGTTACCAGATGCAGCTGCTACTTCCAGCTCATTAGCACGCTTCGACCACCAGGCTTCTCGGTCCTTACGCAAGCTTTGCCCAATTTCAGTACGTAACATCCTTCGTTTGTGGTCAAACTCATGGTCACCCGGAGTAGACCGACGGGCTTCAATGAGTTGTAAGGAACCTGCAGAAACCCAGTGCTAAAAAGCGGGACGTTTCGCGAACCCACAACTGACTGTTCCCGCCATTTTCATGGCGTCATGCAATTGCAACCAATGCTCATCTATACTTTTCGGTGGAGTGGTAGCTAGCCTAGACGCTAGCTCGGTTCGATACTTACTTGCAACAGAAGTTGCAACCAGCTTGCTAATATCAATCCGTTGATGGCGGTCACTTCGTTGGCCACTGAAAAGTAAGGCAAGATTGGCGCAGACCAAGGCATGGTCAGAGTCCAGAAAGGTACTCCAAAAGGAGCGGCAGTCTTGTACACAACCACGTCAGCGGTAGCTGATCGCGATGTGATCAATCTGAGTCCAGGCTTGAGATGCAGAGGGAGGACGCCAGGTGGCACATCGGCGATGACTGTGCCGAAAGTTAGTGCTAGCCAGAAACAGGTTGTGGTCTGTGCAAAGTTGCAGTAGACGGTCCCCGTAAAGTGACCTGCGACCAACGGGTCCCCATCGGCCACCTAAACGACTCTCTTCTGTGCCTAGACGCCCGACCTGAGCATTCAAGTCTCCGGCTAGTACTACAATATCTGTCGAACGCACTTTCTGGAGAAGAACAGATAACTGGTGGTAAAACTCATCCTTAATTGCATCCGGGCTGCAATCTGTCGGGGCATAGGCGGAGATGACGAAAAGACATCGTTTCTCACGCCAATTTCTTCTCACTTTGATGGAACTCTCTAATCTAACAGCACATAACCGACTGTTAATGGGGATCCGATCGACTAGTGCTGCCTCAGCTCTAGCGCTTAGTGCGACACCAACGCCAGCAAGACCAGACGAAGATGCCACAGGGTCCCCGGATAAGCGCACGTAAAACAAGCTTTTTGAAGTGACATATGTAGTACTTCACCAGAGTCTTGAATACGGGTCTCGGATAGACAGCAGACGTCGATATGAAGACTTTCCAAAGACATAGCCAGCCCTATCTGTTGTCCGATCTGCATTAGTGTGCGAACGTTGAAGGCAGCCAATTTGAATGGTATATGTGGTTTCAGAAAAACTGATTTAGTACTCATATTCGGTGGTAACATACAATTTTCAACGGGACAGTGACTCAAGGACGTTTAGATAGAGTCGAATTTCCACCAAAGACGAGCCGCTGTATAAGTATAAAAGAGGGTGAATAATGTGGAAAATAATAATAATAATAATGACAATAATAGTAATAATAATAATAGTATTAATAATGACAATAATTGTAATGATAATAATTTGAATCAATTGATTGTTTTTCGAAGCGAGAAAAGTAATTTCCATAGACATAGAGAGTTCATCATTTGTGTGTGGGCTGTGATACTGCCCGGGTGCCCAAACCGAAGCAGGTCATAAGTTCGTAACCTTCTGGTCTCTCAAACAAACATTAACCATACTTAGAAAGATGAGCTAACAGTTTCTATTATCGAAACATTACTCATCTGAACATTTTTAGCTCGTCATCTTGATTACTTTTACTAAAAATTTAAAAAAATAATTCTCAATGTAATAATTTTTAAGATGGTGGTATATTATCTGATGTCTTACCCCATACAGTCAACTACCTCTCCTTTTTTTGCCATTTGCAGAGGTATGCTAGAAAGACGCGGATATCGTTCACTTCATATTAGTCGTTTACAATTGAAACGATGGTCATCTTATCTTGCTACTGCATTTGCGGTACTTGATAACTTTCAATGTGTTTATTATTAATTATCACATGTTTAGATTCTCTCATTTGTTTTTATTTCTGGTGGAATTTGGCTACTTGAAAATAATCGGATCGAGTCTGAAATTATCGGCAGGCGATATTACTACGAAGAAGGAGTTTTGTTTGTAATCATTGGGATACTATTGCTTCTTTCGCTTGTTTGTCAAGCTTTTATGATTCATCTATTGTTTGTTGCAAAAAAGCCATGGAGATTTACTGAAGTCAAGGTAAAGAGAGCAATTGCACTGGTATGGTATATGTTGACATAAACATAATTATCTTATACAGTATTTAGTTTTTCTGTTTGCAGTGACAATTCCTCATATTTATTGTTTGTATCATGTGAAAACAATTAGAACAAAAGTACGTACATCTTATTTTTATTTACAGCTTTTGCTTCATTACTCACATACATGTTAGTTGAATAATAACTACTTATTAGTAGATATCTCGCTTTAACAATATTCGTGTAATCAAAATGTTCGTTTTAGCTGTTAAGATAATCTTTATATCAAATTATATTGTCACGTCCAACACAAAGCGATTTTTTCACTGTTTACTAGTGGGTTAGGCGTCTGAGAAGTTAATCTCACTTATAAAAACGTTTGTTGTAGATTATTCATTCGAATTCGATTCAGCAACTAGTATTGAAGTATTACTTTAAGAGTTTGAGCTTTCTGTATCCATCTAGATACCATCTTGAATTTAGCCTTATCATATTACACATAAAGGTAAAGTTTGAAAACAACTTTTCATGGGTCGTCAAATAATTTCTTTTGCAGTTCATTCTATCCTTTTTCCCCAGAATATTCTATTATGTATTTTGATAGTAAATCCAACTGATAATCATGCTACCCAGTTTACGTTCCAAATACCGTCGAATATTTTATTGGTAAAACGACTTTCTGTTTGCATTACTTCTTTGAGAATACACAAAAATATCTTTAATATAGAGAAACTATATTTTTTTACATTTTGTTACTTATATATATTGTGAACTTTCACTATTACATCGCCGTTATAACAAGATATCCTATTATTGAGGAACTCGTTAGTAACTCCATCTTATGCGAAACATACTACAGATTACTTCAAACCACCTAATGGCCTTTGACCGTTCAATTAGTTCGGAAATTTATATACTCTAGTGGGTCTGAAGAAACATGTTAATTACTTCTACAGTCATTTGTGAATGGGTCAACATGAAATATCTGATTGAATTATTTTACGGATATTAAACATCAGGATATAAAGTATACTTGTTAATATCTCTTCATAACTAAAACAACGTTAACGTTTTGTTCAACAGTTTTATCTGAGCGTTTTTAGAAAAAGAGTCCTTAAATAATATGAGTAAAATTTCAAGATTATTCTATTTCAAGCAGTGAAATATTCGCAAATGTAGTGCTTAATGTGAGATTATTATTCAACTAATTTGTTTTGACAATATTTGGTTTATTTTTAGTTAATATGGTCAATTAAAGAACAAACTGAAGAGGCTTTGATTAGTTTGTACGGATTCGAACCTGATTTTACATCTGCATGGGATCATCTACAGTCTCAGGTCAGTACATATAGAATGATTGGTATCGGTTAATTTGTCTTTTTAGTGGACAACTAAGCATTAATACGACATATGTAAAAAGGTTAACTAAATACTGGATATGTACAAAATATTCACGGTACTATTTCATAGTTACTGTTTTTTTCAACTTCATTCGTTCTTTTCGAACCAAATTCTTCCTTTAAGATACGCTGCAGTAGAAAAATCCGGATTTATTTTGAGCGTTTTATTATGTGGTAATAAACTGAATTTCTTGCATACTAATGAATGTTCTCTGCATCTATATAATCTAAGTAACTTGAAACATACTGTCATCTTTTGCTTCTCTCTTGTTTTATTATACTGATAATTTTACTATGAGATAATGAATCGTATTTCAAACCGATATTATTATTTCTATCAAGAATGACTAGTTCAGAATAACATTTAAGCGTAAATGACATGGATTAAATTTAAGGCTAATGAAGCGTCAACAGTTGAATGATTATTTTTAAATCATGTTAGTCTGAATAAGGAGTTGAAAATTTTGTTTATTTGATTTTGTGTTGTATTTAGTAATTCGAATGTTAGTAAAACCATTCACTGGCAAATTCTATACTTCTTATTTAATACGAATTTAGGTCATATCGGTGTTCATTGTGACTTGGCATGACTATGTATTGAAATGACAAATTTTATTATTATTATTACCATATATTACTGGCCATGATAATTAAAGTTGATAAATAGATTATATTTCGAGTTTTACAATTCTTCACTTCCTTTGAAATTATCCTGAATCGTGAAAGTAATTCACATGTGTGTATTTATCGTATTTAGGTCATTTATGCATAACTATTGTCAAGATATATCTATGTCTAAACATATACGCACATTTGTTACCTAGTAGTTGTCTCCATTGGACCCCATTAACCAAGTAATTAACTTACTGAATAAATACAAGAAACTTATACTTGAAAGTGAATTACTTATCCTCTTACTGTGCGATTTGTAAATAATACTTTTAAGGTCACTCATTTTCATCATATTGAATTAAACGCATGTTGTATGAAAACTTCATTTTTAACTTCTATGCATCAACACCAGATCATTTAAATCGTACTATTCTACTAAATACTATTGTGTTTTATCGATTTTTTTGCTTAACCAGTTGGCGATTAGCGTCCGCAAGTGTGATATACATTTAATATTTTCAGATTGTTAATTTAGTTTGTCATGATCCCCAAGTATCTGGGATTAAATTTACTTATTGTCAAAAAATTTGTGTTCTTTGCGTTAGTGCGGGATTTCAGATGAAGTTATGATGGATGATATCTATGTTCTGTTAGAAAGGATCTAAAGTGTCAGTACAATAATTCAAACTACTTTAAGCGGGATTTATCCATCTCTGGAAGATCTTATTTATAGTTGTGCACCATTTGCGTAATCTCTTTATATCTGTAACAGTTCATTTTCCGAGTCTAGAACGCTTAATGACTTTGTGTTCAATTATCACTGTTATCACACTATTGATCTCATATAGTTAAAAACACTTCCTAAGTAATAATCAAGTTTTTAGTTGTGTTTGGACATAACAAAAACTTTTATTTATCCTAGGACAGCTTGTTCTGTTGTTAAAGTATCCTTTAAATATACATATTCATAGATTTACATAATTGCTTCATCTTTAAAGCGTAAAATAAATAGCAAAAGTTAAGAACCTAAACAGTTAAATTTAAAGTTTTCCATGAAATAATTAATATTTACTATGCGTTCAATGGAGAATGCTGATAGGTGGCCTATGTTCCTTTATAAGAGGTAACAGGCGCGCGAACGCCTAACCTCTAGACCACTGACCCGGCATCCAACGGTGTTAATTTCTAACTTCGACATAAATCAAACTTTCGGAGATTTATGTCCATGATGACTGGTTTTCAATGGCATCCCAAAAATTTACTTTGAATACTCATAGGATTGGTTAAAGCTAGACATTGACACCATTGGATACCGGCTCAGTGGTCTAGAGGTTAAGCATTCATGAGCGAGACCGATAGGTGCTGGGTTCAAATCCTGCGGGTGGCTTCGTGGATGCGTACTGCTGAGGAGTTTCATACTCGGGCGAAACGGCCGTCCAGTGCTTCCACATTTTCCATTGTGGCCTAGCTTTAATTGACTCATGAATTCAACTAATAAACATTTTTATCTATTTTAACCAGTTCAACACAAAATTATTGTCTAGCAAGAAAAATTATGTTGATATTATATATATTCAAAACTGAGAGTGGATATCTATGGTTGCGAGATTTGTCAATGGCTTTTCTCCAGATATTGCTTACTTTGTTGAAAGTTACAAGAAAGCTGGATTATATAATAGTATTTATATTTTTCTTACAAATTCTAAGATCATATATAATTACCTATGTGATTTGTAAATCAACCAAAGTATAATTCAAAGTATCGCCTTACAAAAGGATTACTAAAAGTAAATAAACTGACACAACTATTCGTTTATCCAAATATTCACGATTTTATAACATGACAACATGAAGGGTGGATAAGACCAAAGCTGTAGAAATGAAAAAAAGTGATTCATTAACCCCAATGAAAAGTTAGAGGAAAAGTACAAAGAGAATAGCTACAAACGGGGCAAAAGTTGATAAGATGCAGCTAAAGGAAAACGATGTGTAAATTCATATGCATTGTGACTATTGGTTTTCGATTATATCACGAGTTTATAACTACTTTATCTGATTGCCTTACAAATACAGCTGCAAAATCTATGATTCCCTGCACGTTTTGAATCAACAACTAACTGCATCATAAAGTAATCCCACCACCTAACCTCATCATCATCATTCCATTAAGCTACGACTCGATCACAAGGAAGTCCTACTCAATGCCTTCTCGCGATGGAGGTGTTGTTTACAAAGTTGAGAGGACAAAATGCGAATATCCTGTGCCTTAACCGGGTTGGCGGATACAGAGGAGTTGAAAAACCCTGATTCCAAACCAATGGTGCACATGGGCTCCAGAATCCTGAGGAAACAAATGGTGTGTGAGCCAGTTGTTTGTGACCGGTTACTATGGGACTGCATCTCCTTACGTCGCTCCACTGCCTTGCGGATTAGACCACTATGTCAAAGGATCAGGGTGTGGCCTCCTGAAAAAATCAACTGTTTCAGTTTGGGCACCCGAGTAGTATTCCAGCCTTCACATACATGAGCATTCTCCATCGAACTCGATCCTAGGCAATATTCTCCAGTTACTACTCAACAGTATAAATAATATTCGGCAGTTATTATGCTTCCGGATAATTAATTTTTACCAATTAATGTTGATTTATGTGAACAATATCATTGGTTTTATTGGTAAATGGTCAGTTTTTGAATTTAAGTCTTTAAACAAATTAGCGTTTTGGTTAAATACATAATATTGACAAAATAATCCGTAAGATAGAGATGTACATTATATGTCATTCGATTAGAATCTTATCAATTGTGTACAGTTTGCACATTAGTTGTTTAAAGCTGTTACATTTCATCTGTTTGTTCCTTCTTTGTCTTATGTAGTTAAACTCCTAAATTTAATTTGGATAAATTTTGATAACGTACTAGGATATGACGTTTACGAAAACCATGTGACACTTTAAATAACGATTTGACTGCATACTAACTAAGTGGTTAATAAAATTACACAAGAATGTGAAATATTCAAACTTATTTATTGGGCAGTGTACGAATAACAAAGATGATAAAGACTGAACAACATTATCCAAATACCCTCAGTATTACAAGTAGAATTGATATAACCCTAAATAGGTCTCATGTGAGGATCAGCTCTATAGTAAAGATTAACATTTTCATAATCCGTGACCAGGTTGTTCGCAGTGTATTGCATCAACCTAATCTCATGATCTTAATAAACTTGGTCTTTTCATCATGCTTTCTAAAGACTATAGATTAGTCCTTGGAGCTGGTTATCGTTTTATTTTATATTCTCAGCCAGTGAAATCACAATCTTCATTTAAGTTATGATTGACAAATTTAGAAGTGAAAATGGTTTACATAAACAAATAGTTCAAGTCAGTGTTTAAAATGTATCAATTAATCGTTGATATCCCGTTTAGAAGCTATTATTTTAGAATTACACTCCAAAGGTTGTACGTATCAATAAACAATAATGATAAATCAGGTGAATGTTCAAAAATGGCATATAGTCTCTTTTTGTGTAACAATTAACTAAGGAATTCAGTTTGGTTTGATATTAGTGTAAAAAAGACATGCTAAGTAGTCCGTGACCATCTAATTAAATGTGTGGTCGTAAATACTCGTGAGATTAAGCTTAGAACCTTAAGGCCATTTGGGAACTACGTTTACGTTTGTACTTCTCTACCTGACTTAAGACTATACTGCTTTTATTTTTACGCAACATAATATTCTACAGAATTTCCTTTGTTAGGCATTACCGTACTCACAATTAACTTTAATCAGTATTATATACTGTTCCCTAAAATCCCTACTCTTTTGGTTTCATCCGTTAGTATATGTTTAAAAATACACTGTGATTTTTTAATTTTTGGTCTCGCCTGTACTAGTTTCCTATGACTCTAATTCTCTGTAATCTAAAAAAGCACACACCTTTTACCAGTGTACTTGTTCCTAATAACTTTTCTTCCGTCAAGACTCATGTTTATTTGTCCTTTGTAGTGAACTTGCATCCAGGAAAATTTCCATTGAATTAGTGGCCAGCTATTGATCAACGCGCAGTAGCCCAAGTGCATTCATTCTTCATCTTTCCGTAGTTCCTGAACACCGAAATTGCCTTATATATTTTAGTCTTATTTTTGTACATCTGCTCTTTCCCACTAGTATTTATGATGTTACCACTTTTACTACTCTGGAATTTATTTTTATAATTTTATCTCACTGCGTTGATATAGTGTGACGATTCGAACCGACACTCAGTTGACAGGTTTTACGTTTAATATGACTGATATGAATGATAAACAAATATGGTAATTCATTGTCTTAATGTTACTCAAATGGATTAATAGTGATGTATAAGTCGCTAAATAAAATGCTTTCGAATCTCAATAGTAACACTAATTTCCTCTAAAAGAAAATCTGGCATAAAGGCCTTTTGTTAATCTTAAAAGTCTTTATTCGTAAAATTTTTTTATCAGTAAGGGATTGTGAATATTGTTGAATTTGGCTGAAATCATGAAGTGGTCAATGTTAGGCAACCATCGCGCGAGACCGGAGGTCTTGGAACTGAGTCTTGTTTATGGGATCGTGGATGTACGCGGCTGAGGAGTCCCATACTAGGGCGAAACCACTGTTCAGTGCTTCCAGGGTTTCACTGGTAGCTTAACATTGATCGGTTCGTGATTTCAATAAGAAACATTTTAATTTTTGGGAGAATAAACCTTAAAATTGGATGAATAATAAACATTTTAGTGTAAATAAGTTACATGCTTCAGTAATTACACTGTTTCTGTGTATCCGATTTTTCTAAAACGCAGTCTAAATTCTTCTCTAACTCTACATTCTAAATTTCTATTTACTAAGACAAAAATGAAAGATTTACAATAATTGAAGGAAATATTACAATTCATTCAACACGGATGCTCAACAATTTATCAAGTTCACCAAATTGTTTTTCTCTGAAAACATTTTATTGTTTAAGCATGTATAGAAAAATATTAACAGATTATAGGACGTCATAGTTTAATTTTATTTTCATATTAAATTGATTACATTTAGAGTGAATGTTGTGGATTTTCGGGTCCTCAAATATATGCCTCTTCAAAATGGAAATACAGTCAACCTAATTCTTCAACTTTTATCAGCTTAGTACCTGATTCTTGTCTTACACTTAAAAGTTTAGAAGAACAAGTACTTGAAGATATAAAAACCAAGTCTGATTATGAAGAACCTAGACAAGTGACTTTTCAAAAAGTAAGTTCAATTAAATCTTATAAATAATATATATTTGTGTAAGTATGTTTAAGTTTTGTACAAAAATATAAAATTTATTCACTTCAAAATATGACATCTTTAGCCTCCAACTATCAACTTCTACTGTTTTACAAGCACATTATTTAAAATAGTGACTGGACTTGTACCACATATTCCTTCATCTTCTTTAGAGCTTCTAGTTTATTTCTTTAGGTAGGACATTTCTTGAGGTAAGAGACAATACAATCTACCTAACACTTACTTACTTGCTTACTTACGCTTGTTACTCCCAATGGAGCATAGGCCGCCGACCAGCATTCTCCAACCCACTCTGTCCTGGGCCTTCCTTTCTAGTTCGATCCAACTGTAGTTCATTCTTCTCATATCTGTCTCCATTTCTTGGCGTAATGCGTTCTTTGGTCTTCCTCTCATCCTTTGGCCTTGAGGATTCCATGTGAGGGCTTGCCTTGTGACACAGTTAGGTGCTTTCCTCAGTATGTGTCCTATAACCCTTCCAATACTCTCCTGATTTCTTCCTCTGCTGAGATCTGGTTCGTTCTCTCCCACAGTAGGTTGTTGCTAATAGTGTCTGGCCGACGGATCTGAAGTATTTTGCGTAGACAATTGTTAATAAACACCTGTATCTTCTGAATGATAGCTTTCTTATTTCTCCAGGTTCCCACCCCATAAAGTAGAACTGTTTTGACATTTGTATTGAAAATTCCGACCTTGGTGTTGGTTGACAGTTGTTTTGATTTCCAGATGTTCTTCAGTTGTAAATATGTTGCTCTTGCTTTGCCGATCTGCTTAACGCTAGACTAGGTTAAATCTTTCGTAGTTTTTTGTCAAGCGTTTTGGATGCCATCAAGCTCACTGATTATTTCATTCACATTCAAAGTTTGACTGTTAGTGTCTCTGATTCATTTGAATGAGAGGTAATAGCGTCGATACGTGGTTTTAGTAGTAAATAAATTATATGCATTGGTTGGTTAAAGAAGACATTTTTGTTGGTCACTAAAGCCAAAGGTGAGTTTAATACATATCATAGTATGTCAGACACCATGCAAACACATTAAAAGCAGTGACAGTTGTCTTTCATCCTATTTGTACATGATTACATTAAATTATTTGGACTCATGTTTGAGTTAAGGAGAGGAGAATTCGCGTAGTACATCGGCAGTGACCTTATCAGAAGTTAGTTTTAAACAGGAACGCGTTGTCGTATGCGGAAAACTACAGATGACAACTCCCATTATCCAACTTTCTAATCAACAGGCTCCGACTGGTCGCTCGGGAAATTTCTTTGTCCCTAGTTTTCCTTTCTACACACCACAATACATGTTAGTCAGGCGTTGCTAAAGTCATTTATTCGGTACAATTCATCGTTATTTCGACACGAGTTATGATGTATTGAAGCGTGGACAGATATAGTGGAAAAAGTCAATAATTATTTTGGCTAAATTTCCTTTCCTATATCCACCTAATTGATTATTATCCTAGATCCACTCAACCAATCCTGCTTTTGATATGACAAGTAGTAATTATTGTGTTCAGAAAGATCTCTTCACAAGACTATCCATCGGAACCGTATATAAAAACATGTTCATACTCGTTTAATTAAATTTCATTAATATTCCATTTACAAGTTAAAAATATTCCAGAGAATAATGTACTAATAATGTTGATATATTTAGTACCATATTAAAAACTTAGACGTCCGATTTGGCTGAACGCTTCAACCAAAGGACAGAAAAAAGTATCCTTAATAATATATATAATCTCAACCATCTAATGCTTTTTCCTTCATTTATGATTGACTTTTAAATCAAAATGACCAGTCATTCATACACCTAGTATCCATGTTTATCACCTTGAAAGTCCCTGTCACCTTTCTAATCACCATATTTTTTGAATATTTTCATTTCCGATTTCTAAGGGGTGCGCAGAATTTCTTTATACTCATATAGAAGGTGTTCTAAGCGGTTCGTTTATCGTACCGGTTATTTCTCTTGTGATTGTAGTAAGTTTGTTATTTTTTACGTTTGTATTTTCCTGTGTATCTGTCATTGTTCTTTCATGTAAATTTAAGATAACTGTTCATATTGTACTCGGTTGAAAGAAATGGTCATTCCTAATAAAGTTCAAGATTTTGGTGGAGTTTTGTTATCTGCACTTGACTGTCTAATCATAGAGCTTTCATTGTTCTTTTGAAGAACATCGAGAATGTAGAAACTTGATGTCTCACTTTCACCTGGTGTTTTTGCTGATGATGTTCAGAAGAACAATGGAAACTCCACGATTAAACCCTCTAGCTTATTCAACGAAACTCCATCCCAATCATCCACTTGAGCTATACATCTTGTGTACTAACCCGTAGTCCAAAGTGTGAAGAAGTTTTCATTTAAATAAAGGGAGTTTTACGAGTTTTCCATAGACGCAACATAGTAATCATGTAAATTCTTATATTTGTATACATCATATATACTTCATTTAACTTTGTAAGATTTCTTTGAGTCCAATTATTCTTTCTTTTTGTAAGTTTAAGTTGATTTCAGTAGCAACAAGATATCATAGAAAATACAATTATCATAATTTTATATATATATTTATTTAAACACATAAACATTGGTACGAGGAGGCACCAAATGCGTTTGCGCACACAAATTGTTCCATTTGTGTGATGACTGGAATACTACTCGGGTGCCCAAACTGAAACAGTTGATTTTTTCAGGAGGCCACACCCTGATCCTTTGACATAGTGGTCTAATCCGCAAGGCAGTGGAGCGACGTAAGGAGATGCAGTCCCATAGTAACCGGTCACCAACAATTGGCTCACACACCATTTGTTTCCTCAGGATTCTGGAGCCCATGTGCACCATTGGTTTGGAATCAGGGTTTTTCAACTCCTCTGTATCCGCCAACCCGGTTAAGGCACAGGATATTCGCATTTTGTCCTCTCAACTTTGTAAACAACACCTCCATCGCGAGAAGGCAGTTAATAGGACTTCCCCGACAGTGGTTGTATACACGTGACCATGTGAAGGCATTTAGAAGAGGGAGAGTTGACTCTCCCCATCCTCTGCCGTACCAGGGCATTTTTGGACATTATCATAATTTCCACGAATACATTAACACTGGACTAGATAATACGAATGGATATCGTAGACCACAATACTAGATATGATTAAATCACCAGGCTACATCACGTTATACAGAGATACACAATTCTGACGGACAATTAAGAAACAGAATTTAGAGACAATAACCGTTTATTAACTCCATATGAAACCTATACTATAATAAATAATAAACTATACTACAGTGCGATGATACCAAATACCCTGGCCGATAATGGGGAGACTCCGCTCTCCCTCTCGAAATGCTCTCACATGGCCACGCGTATATAGCCTCTGCCAGGGAAGTCCTACTCACTGCCTTCTCGTGGCGGGGGTGTTGTTTACGAAAATGAGAGGACGAAAAGCGAATGTCCGGAGCTTTATCCGGGTTGGTAGGCATGGAGAGTCCACCTAGCGGAGTTGGAAAACCCTGATTCCAAACCAATGGTGCACATGGGCTCCAGTATCTTGAAGGAACAAATGGCGTATGAACCAATCGTTGGCCACTGGCTTCCATGGGACCACATTTCCTTACGATGCTTCACTGCCTTGTGGATCAGACCTTCAGGTCGAAGGCTCCGGGTGTGGCCCCTTAGGAAAACCACACTTCGGTTTGGGCACCCGGGCAGTATCACAGCCTTCACACATATCAAATGAGATTTGTGTGGCGCACATGTATTTGGTGCCTCCTTGTACCAGTATCTATGTGTTAAAATAAATAATAAACTACTACAGTGCGAAGATATTAATGATGGGAAAGGAGTTGACAATATTATATAATGTCTCTTTACATTTAACATTGCTGGACGTCTGTTTATATTTTGTCTCTGACCAATTCTATTTTGCTTCCATTAGTCACGCATCACGTAGGTTGACTGCTAAATTTATTTATATTTGAATCATTTAATAGGATTTAATTGTTTCGCATAATAATAAATAGTTTAATTCTGTGCTGGTGAATAATTTCCATTCACAATCGTTAACTTCTAACTAGTTTAATATAACAAACAAAATGTATTGTGGGACAATTATAGCAAAATCATAGTTAACAAATATGACACTTTGAAATAGATTGAAAAGTGTACATAACACATTAAATAAATACTTCTAAGATAACGTAAGTTATTCAATACTTAAAAAAACCTTTAAAAAAGCAAGCTCATTCGCACCTCACTTGAACCTGTGTTACCTAAATTTTGCAACTATCAGTTTCTACACAAAGTTGTTCTGGACTCTGTTAACAAATTTACACTTTCTTCTTGATACTAAAACCAGTCTGTTAGATCATTTTAGCCTACAAATTTTATTTATCATTCTTAAGGTTGGGAAAATTGTTGAACCTTATTAAAATCACAAACCGATCTCTACAACCCTCATACTGATAATTTTTGGGTGCTTACTAGTGACTAGCATAGAGAGAAAATTTTTCAGATTCAAGTGAAAAGCTGTGACCAATCGTGTTGCGTGTGAGAGAAACACCCACCTAGGATGGTAGCTAACTGTGCAATATCATGGAACCCATACTAAGACGAAACAGATGTTCACTGCCTCCAGGTTTTCAGTGGTTGTCTAACTTAGATCCGTTCATAGTCTCAATTAAAAATTTTATTTAGTTGTAATTGATAAGATATAACATTTATTTGATATTCTTCTTACTGTCTTCCTCTTGATTACTTTCCCTTTTTTCCAAAAATAATTATTTTGCTCTGTCTACTGTCTTCACAACAAATACTCAATTGCTCTTGTCCACTAAAACAACAACAACAACCAGTCTTTTTCATTTGTTCTTGGAATCGTTTTGTGTAATTTCGTGGTGGTTGGAGAAGAAATTTAAAACAATGAGAAAGATATTTAACATCAACTCAATTATCATCAGGCTGTTTTGATCTGATCTGATCTGAAGAAAATCTCCAGTTTTTTTTCCTTTTTAAAGACCAAACTATAATTTCACATTTGCTTTCGTTTTTTTTCTTTACTTAATTTATTTTTTAGAGGAAATTGTTTATTTGCTATTACGAATACTAATATTATTGCTATTACCGTCACGATTTTTTTTTCTGTTTAGAAAGTTTATTTTTCAATCAGTTACTCGTTTTTTTTTCACCATTAATTTTCTCGTTGATTTCAATTGCGAGAAAAAGTATCTGATCAAGTATGATTTTATCATTTTTATTATTATTTACTGCTTAGCCCGCCTTATTACTTTTATTACTCTACATTATTTTGTCTGTATATTCACTGATTTATACATACATGAAATGTATTAGCCTTTTATGATGAATAAATCAATTCATGATGATTATGATAAAATGATTTATATTATTGTTTTTTTTTCCAAAGAGAAATCTACTTAGTGTACATTATTCCATGCGATTATTTTAATGTATATTTAGCTTTAAATTCTATCTTTTTTATGAAAGGCTAGTTATGTTATTCAGGTACTGTACTTTACAGTTCAGTGTTTGAAATTGAACGACTACAACTATACTTGAAAGACAGGTTTATCAACTTCTGTTTAGTATAACAACAGTGAAGAATAACTAAAGATGGTTACTGTTACACAGTGTCTTTGTAGGTAATACTTTATCTATTTGCGCTAAACTCTAGTTTTAATGGGAACTCAATTGTTCATTCACATATAAATGGATCCTCTCTATTCACTCCCAGTAACATCTAAAGTATCATTTATTTGGCAAAAATTAAATCGTATAACCTTAGTGATAATGATCAGAGATAAGATTTATGTGTGCATTATTTAAAAACATCAAAAAACATTGGTAATTCTCTATTTCACCGTACACATATAGTATTTTACTAAAAAGTTAGTCATCAAATTCCAATAATTCGTTATTTGTATATATTTTTTCAATATGAATAAAATTCTAAAGCTAGAATTGTAAGATGTAAGCATACCAGATGAGTTTGTTTGTTTCCTAGCAAAATGTTTGTTAAACGCTTTATTCATAATCAGTTTTTCAAACGATCAAATGCGTCAGCTTCTCGGTCACACCTACCAAGAACTCATTATCATTGAATAATTTCCAGTTGGTTATAACCAATATATTTTTAATCTGTTGGGTTTACCAACTCTTAATCTTTCCACTATAACTAGGATTGTTGACTTCCATTATGTAAGTAGTTGAGTCAAATTGTAATTTACTGAGTTGATGTAAGCTGAAAACCATCAGTTATCTTAGGTACCGTTATTCGACGTCATGTAATATTATTGAGTGATATCGATACCAGTTTAAGGGGTATATATTTCCGTGTAAGCAAGCATTATTTGCTTTAAAGATGATTTTATACCAAAGAGGTTTCAGAATGCTTCCATCTATCAGTTCTGTATGGTTTACTAAACTCCTTCAACTGTTATTTAATAATTCAGTGTTAACATCTCAAGCTGTGTGACATTTTTCTCATAATTCCATGAACAGCTTACTGATATATGCCACCCGGCACAAAACGTAGGTTAAGGGTTTGATGGAAACTACCTTGCATCGTTCGATATATTTGGTGATACTATCTTACTAGTTTTCCCAGATTTTACCGCTAAGAATAAATTCCTGTTTGCATACTGGCATACGTTTCTGGATTCAATATGAATACAACGTCCAGGTTAACTTATTTTTCATCTGTGTTAATAAAAAATCTAGTAAGAATAGTAATTTACGTTTATAAGTAAATCAATTGAATAAACAGGTACAAGTTATTGTATTGTGTTTGATTTTCATCTACGCGTATTGCGCAACGGTTAGTGAAATCATACCGAAGTTAATAATGTGAAACTCAGACCTATAGTTCAAAGTTGGTCATGTATAATTACTGGATCCTGCTAAGTTATGAATACTGAAACTTAAAGTGTTTACCATCCAAAAATTATCTTAATAAGTATATCACTTTTCACCGCGAAAGTTACACTGGTTTGATTTTTTCTGGGACAAATGTTTCCTCATTGTTATATTTGCTGTATTCTGAGCGGCGATACTAAATCCAAGGGTTTACCAACAATAAACAAACACTTAAATTGTATAAATTTCCCAATTGGATACATCAATCTGTAAATAGACTACAAAAACGGGTACTGGATAAACATGTAACGAATGATCGATTTATATGGAGAATTGTTGCTGTTTGCGTTTAAAACACACTATAAAGCAATTTCACTTATTCTCTTCAACAAATAGATTGACGAAACTGAAATTTTATAATGCTTAATTTGTCAGATTTATTAAATGAGACTATTAGCTGATTAATCACTGAATGTTATTCCTTAGTAATTGTTTACATATCAAGTTTATGATACAGTCGGCACTTTTAAGTTTTATTTTCAATATTTAAGGTTTTTGTATCAAGCAATCCATGTGTTATTATTATCACTAGTACTGTTAGATCATAGTCAACAAACGACGCTTATGAAATAAGCAATGGGTGTTTACTAGACATAATATTATAACAGAGATATTGTGTTGATGTATTTTCAATCTCCTGAAATGATATGAAGTGTAGGCAATTGTTGATATGAATCATAGAAATTGGTCCAAAATACAATGCACACAAATCGAAAGATATAAAAACACTAGGCATTAGTAGTTATCTACTTCTGGTGAAACGATACAAATATAAACAATTTTTCATTGCAAAAAGTATTCATAATTTTAAGTTGAAGTATAAGCGGAACAGTTTTTGTAAGTCATCGATCGACCAATCAAATGAAAATCTGACATCATTCTTATCGTTCATATCACGTTATGTAAAATTCATACTTTATATTATTTGTTTATCAGTAACTATGTCCGACTGGTTTATGAACAGGGCATTAGTATTATCATTAATGATCTTACTTCCAAAAATTGTTTTGCAGAATTTTATGGTGTATTATTGCTTTCGTGTATCTACATCAGGTCTTTATTTGTACTTATTCCTCACAGCCGTCTGCTCTAAGCAATAGCGTTGCCTGAACCAAACAACTATAAGAGAGTTACACTGATTGATAAGGTATCCAGTAGTCATAATCTAAATTCAAACTGATCGGCTTGTAATTTTTGAAGGACAGTGGTTAGTTATACTGAGATAGATTGAAATACTATCTTAATATGTTAAAACATGGTATCATTGTTTTTCCGAAGGACTACAATAAGAGCAGAATTATGAAAAAAGACTAGAGCAATATTCGTTTACTCTTAGTATGTGTTGTGCACTTTTCAGTAGTTTCAACACATCCCTTAACGATCATAGGCCTCATCAAACTAGTGCTATCCTTCTGGTTTATGTACAGTGCTTTTAACAAATGCATCCGTTCTGACTCTGTCGTACCTACTATGATATAAACAGCCGTGTTGTATCATGTCCTACCACAAGATAACTATCTATCAGACTGCTTTTTGGGATATATGTATGTTTACTGAGTTGCATCAAATAAGTATTACAGATTACGTGACTGTTGTTAGAAGAAAATAAGTTCTGCATAAATATTAGTTCTATATGAACGAAACTAATAGTATACATGAAGTAATTACGATTTGTTTTCATACAAAACAAACTACCTACTTTTAATACATAATTATTGATCGGCTAATGGATATCGTTAAGCTTCATCTTACTGTTCAGTTAAAATAAAACCAACTACACTTCTTAATGTTTATTTATCCAAACTTGTAAAGATTTTGTGAATAAGAAAACATTCAATCACAGTTTAAAGATCATATTCAATCTGAAAATGTACTTTTCTACTGGTCTTAAACTGCTCTACTCAATTCTCTGTATTACGTATCTTTGAGTAATCCTGAAAGTAAGAAAAGATTGAAGTGATTTAAATAAGAACATCAATAAATAGATATATTATGGTTGTTTTGAAGTCAGTCTCACTGAAGTACGCCACTAATAAAGCATCTGAAGGACCTTAACTTACCAATCATGAGACTAACTAACACAATCTCTATTTAGTCATGTACAATTTATATAATTTCATTATTTTAATTTGTATTTGGAAGTCTGGTAATTTCGTAATTAACACATCCAACCATACAAGTTGTTTCTAACACTATTTGTAGCCTGTATAAAATATTATTTGTTTCTCTATTTGGTTTTTTATCAAATATTAGTCTTACAGTTTTTTTGGAAGACTGAAACAATAATTATATGAGACTTACAATTGACCAAAATTATGTATTTAATTTTCTGCCCCTGATTTTAGTCATTTGTGGAGCTGGCTAATTACACTTTTACCAAAAATGGGACGAATGTACTGGATAACACTTAGTCTATATTAACTTATGGGTTTGAAATGTCGTTTAAAGGTAGTGTAATAGATGAGGATGTTTGATGAGACTTTAAATCTCCATTGGCTACCCTTTTTGGTGTGTGCTACTTATATTAACACAAGTAGTATATGATGTTAGTCGTAAACAGAAGGTCTGGCAGCAGAGAGACAAGAGGATCGAACAGTAAAGAATGGAAACAGGATGCAATTTGTATGAAAATGAAAGAACAATGAAGTCTGAGTCATTTTGAGACAACTGGTGGACATTTTGCAAATCAAGCATTTATTTTATGATTATTAGATTTTATTAATATGTCCTGTAATTTTGTGGTAAATGCATTTGATTGTGCCTATTGGTGTTCGTGTTCACTACAGCATTAATAATGAACATATATTTTGTATGCCCAAGCGAGACCCGCCTGCACTTTCGTTGGCGTCTGGAATTGGCCCAGATTGATGAACGCTGCGAAAACTCGGACCTGTTCAAGTGGTCATCTTATGTGGCCATCAATAGTTGGTCTGAGTCATATATGGAGTTATCTTCCTTCTGTCTGGGGACAATCGTAATCTATGGTTGGAGACCTTATGTGGTAATTCTTAAGATCAGTTTCAGTAGAGCAGACATATGAATGCGTTACATCTATTTAAAGTGTAAACATAATTCTGTTCGCTCCCAGATTAACTCATTATCAATATTGGTGATTTCGTATTTTCTTCGATCAGCTTTACTACAATCTACGGATTTTCATCAGAATATCGAAAAATATTCTTTCAAGCTAATCATTGATAGGAACAACATAGTTTATTTAATCATTTTATTGATTTAACGAAGCTTTGTAAAGGCTAATTCATTTATGGGATGGTTCAAGCGTCACTCTATAAAACGACTTGACGAAAGTCTGGAACTATACTAAGGTTCCAAATTGATGTTGGAATTTTTATGTATTTTATTAGCATATGAGCAC